CAAGTTCTCAGGTAGTGTTGCTGCATCTGGTTAAAAGGAACTTCACTTTGAAAACTAGTTTCTCTAAATTCAAAGAATTTTAATGGTTTCCTAACACAAGCCATTAGTTTTTGAAATCAGATTACTTTCATCTTTAATGACTGTCAGAATGTATTTGAGCTTTTATGTATTAGGCATTGTTACTTCCTCAATAAGCTTAATCTAATAGAATCAACCATATTAATAGAATAGTAAAAATAATCACTACCGCCGGGCGGTGGTGGCGCACGCCTTTAATCCCAGCACTCAGGAGGCAGAGGCAGGTGGATCTCTGGGAGTTCGAGGCCAGCCTGGTCTACAAGAGTTAGTTCCGGGACAGGCACTAAAAGCTACAGAGAAACCCTGTCTCGAAAAACCAAAAAAAAAAAATAATAATAATCACTACCTTGTATTGATCATTCATTGTGCCAGGAGCTATGCCAGATAGTATTTAAACTCATTTACTCCTCAGAGGATTAGAACATACAATGCTTATTTGAGGTGAAAAAATTAAATAAGGTATAGAAACTAATTTCCCAGGACTCACAGTGAATATATTGAGGAACTAGAATTTTCTGTATTGTTCTGGTACCTTCTACACTATCTAAAATTAAAAGTATGCATATTCCAGGACCAAAGTGGGGATAGAATAATTGACTTTACTCTAGGACAGCAAAAGACACCACAAAAGAGATGGCCCTGAGGGCCTTAAAGGACAAGTTTAAGCCACATTATTTCGAACTACAGATATCTCCATGTGGGGGAGCAGTTTCTGAAAAGCCAAGGAAACCTGGAAAAAAAAAAAAAAACTAAAATGTTACAGATTACAAATATTACATAAGACCAAATACATTTTTTTAAAAAAAGGATGAAAAACTATCCATCAAAGGTCAAAGTCATGAAGAATAGCACCACTGGAGAGCAGGAGGCCAGCCCTGGTCCACATAGTTTTAGGCCAGCCAGGGGACATTTTGATATATCCTGTATTTAAAAAAATAGAATTAGGGTTTTGATTGTGGGTTTGGGTTTTGTTTTGTTTTTTTACTTTCTCCTGTAATTCTCATCCACTGTAAGCCAGTGGGTCTCAAACAGGTCAGGCAACAGAGAATCAGCATTTTCTGGGCACTTGTTAGAAGTCCCAGTTAGAGCCCAGCAATCTGTTTTTACTTTCCTCCAGATGACTGCGTACTAGCTTGAGAATATTATAATTGGTGTTGGATTTTGAATATTATTGAAATAGTGGTGATTGTGTCTATGACTTATCTATTAGAGTACTATGCACAACAGAATTGAAATGTTAATACCTGAGAGAATACTTTTCCTCAGCATGATCCTTCTATTGCTTGAAAATCCATTATCTTCTGTTTCTGCAGAGCTCAGAGTCCAGACAGGGGTTTGTTAAGTCAGCATTCAAGGTGTAGCATTCTCAGTAGTCCTTAACTATAGTAATAACTTGGAAACTTATTGACTGATTTTAATTAACAAGAAAAGGAAGTAAAAAACTCTGTAATTTTAAAACTGTCAATGTATAAAACTGGTATTATAGTTAACGCTTTAAAGTACTTTATTTAAACCATGTGTATCAAAAGAATAGAATGTATTCACACCATGAAATGACTGAAAGTAACTCCTTCTTGGTAGAAGTAATATTTGTGATGATGTTTTTTTATTTTTATTTTACACTAAAGCCTATAGATTATATATATCCCCATATGTGTGTATATATATGTATATATGTGTATTATATTTCTGTGTGTGTGTGTATACATACAGTTGGTCGGTAATTTAGTTACACGTAATCTTACTTTGTATATATCTCCCCAGGAACTGAAACCCCAGTTTATAGACAGTTTTGAGGTCTCAAGTCTACAGAGCCCTTTCATCTTAGCAGCAGCAAATAGTTAAATAGAACACTATGACCAACATTGTTAGTGCTCAGTTCACATTGAGCATTTTCTGTACACTGGTTGCAAGTCAGTGCAACTTAGACACCCATTCATTTTACAGGTGTGGGAACATTAACTGAGTGAGTGAGTGAGTGAGTGAGTGAGTGAGTGAGTGAGTAGCAGAACCTGGCACGATAGCCAGACCTATGTGGATTATAATCTAAAAGACACAACTCCATGGAAAAGAGTGTTTTCTGATCTTCAACCTGGCATAATACTAACAGCCCATACCACTCAAAGTAAAGTAGTCTTCACTTACTATAAATACCAAAATCTTGGGTATAATATACTCTGTAAATAGTACTTAGTAATGTTTTATTCATAAATTATTTTTAAAGACCTTTTTAGTGTTGATTCAAGGAAAAACGAGACTTTCTTTTACTAGTTTAAAACGAAAACTGTTTCTGTCTTTCAAAAATCTGTTAAAATAAAAACAAGAGTATATAGATTCTTGCTACTTTTACTACTTAAAAAATTGATGAATATAAACCATAAAGAACAATTATTTAATCTTCTGTGTCATTATATAAATGCCAGGTAGTATTTGAACTTGTGGTGTATACTTAGTAGTTAGACAACTTTGAATTATTCTCAGGAAAAACATACGCCTCCAGTAACCTATAATCAAAGCACATACATAGGTCTACCAGAATGTTGAGTTCCATTTTAACCAGCCCTTCTAAAATCCTCAGAATCCTTTTTAGAAGCCCTCCTACACTCTTAAAAAACAGGTGTTAAAATATAAAATTAATAGAAAAAATTCTTCATCTGAATTTTAATGTCTTAAGACCAGCAAAGAGAAAACTCGTAATTAACATTGAGAGTTTTAAAGTGTCAGATGTATACCATAAACAAATGATAAATGTTTTTAAAAGTCAGCCATATACCAAACCCTCACGTAGAAAAGTTAAACCCCTGAGTACTGAACTGCAAGAAAAGACTTAATAAGTTATTTTTCAATTATCACATTTGGTATTGGGTAAAACACAAATGTCTTTTGTGTTATTTTAAGAGTTGGAAGGATGGTTAAATTTTTAAGGGTAATTTAATGAAATATTCTAATTTCTTCCAGTGCGTCTGGGGGCGGTGTTGTAGCCATTGACAACAAAATAGAACAAGCAATGGTAAGTAGGTTCACAGCTCTCCTCTCATTTCACGGTTGCGCAGACTGAGGTTCAGAGTATCTCAGGTCCAGATAACAGAAACCTATTTTCTTTAAGCCAAAAATTACCTTCTTGATAGCAAGATTTAGAAGTTGCTAGAACATTGAAAATGTCTAGTTCGCATGTACTGATTGAGTACATAGTTCTTCTGTCTGATCACATCATATGTTCTGTGTCACTGTGGAACAGGAGCATACATAATTCAGTACAGTGTGTGTTCATCTGAAAAGCATCAGCCTTTGGCCCATTTAAAGTGGGGGCTCTGTGGCACTGCCGTCTCTATAATATAGCCCTGTGGCTAGTTTATTAGCAAGCAGCTTTCCAGGAATAGTACTCTCCTCTGTTGTCTCTATCCAGCATCTTAAAATGCTCATTCTAAACTCTGGGAGGAAGGAGCAGTTCCTATACTAGTTGGAAAAGAGACTTCTTCTACCCCATCTTCCCTAGGCCCAGTCAGGATATAGCAGAAACATTAAAAGCATGAGGAGGAATGTGCTTTTAAAAAACAAAATGTATAAAGCACTTAGTGTTTGTAAGGCACCCAGACAATCTAGAACTAAGTAGCTTCTTGTTTCTCATAACTCTTTGACATTCCTAATTTTTTTTTCCCCACAGGATCTGGTGAAAAGCCATTTGATGTATGCAGTAAGAGAAGAAGTGGAAGTTCTAAAGGAGCAAATAAAAGAATTAGTGGAAAGAAACTCTTTACTTGAACGAGAAAATGCACTGTTAAAATCTCTTTCAAACAATGATCAGTTGTCCCAACTCCCAGCCCAACAGGCCAATCCTGGTAGCACTTCTCAACAACAAGCAATGATAGCACAGCCTCCTCAGCCAACGCAACCTCCACAGCAGCCGAATGTCTCCTCAGCATAAAGCTTTCTTAAGCCTCATTAAGGAAAAACTGAAAGCAATCTTTCCTTGTGTGCCACTGGTGTTCTTTCCACTTTATAGAAAGCAAGTAGCCATTGCTTCGGCTGTGTGCTTGGCCTTTTCAGTATTAGACAATCGTTCTACAGGAGCTTTCCCTCTCTAAGATGCCATGCAGCACTGTTGATGTCCGCTTCTGTGTCATCAGGACATGAGGAGAATAATAGATGGGGTTTATTAAAGCAAGCAGAGTCTGCATTCTACATGTGCTCATGAGTGGGATCTTTAGAAGTTTCGGTGGCTCTCCCATGTTCCTTATCACCCGTGGGTTTACCTTGAGCCTTCCTGTCACATTATAAATAACAGTTCATCTAAAGAGCCACTTTTCTTTCAATATCAGTAACATTTGCCTACGTAAGTTTTCATTTATTTTATGTTTTATTTATTACAGGGCTGCTATTTTCATAATGTACATGAACAATGTCACAGAACTTTTTTAATTTTTTGGATAATTATAAGTATCAGTAAAGGAATTGAAAGACAGGATTACATTTAATTAATAAAATGTTTAGGCAATAATTGAACAAAAGAATCCTGGCACATTTCTAACACTAATGGCAATTTACCGTTGGTATTTATTTTCAATAGTGAAGATCCAGCTTGAATGTAAATTTTGTATAGTGTAAGTGTGAAAAACACAGTGCACCTGTACAGGTAGTCACCAGTTATTGTGATATAATAAATAATTGGGCTATTTTCATGAAGAAAACTTTGTTCATTTGTTTCTACTTTCTAATAGAAATTGCCATGATTCCTCTGCTTTTCAACATTTCGTATGACTTTTTTTTTTTTTTTTTTTTTTTGGGTGGGAATAAAAAAGCTGTGAAATTGTTCAACCTACTTTGTAACCAAAGAAGCAAAGCTGTGTAATGGAGTTTTGTTTTGTTTTATAATGCACATTCTTTATGTATTTTTATTTAGTGTTTTCTTGGTCACAATTTTCTTTGCTGTCTAGCATGATCTGCATGGCCTGTAATCTTTGAACCACTTTCGTACCTCATGTTTTATCCAGCACTCTTATTGTACTGTGTACTAGTCTGTGAACAATGTCAAATAAAAAGAGCGAGCAGGTCGTATGGTGGAGCTGAGCTAGCGTACAATGCACCAGTTGTACAAAAACAAAAATGAAGTGAGCCATCTTTTGTTCATTTAAAATGGTGTTTTGAATTTCATATGCAGAAAACGTTTTGTTACATTGCAGATTTTAATGTATTTAATAAATGCAACATGCAGATTAAGTGCAGTGTATACTGAGTATTTAAATTAAAATGTACATTTCATAAATACAGTTTCAAGAAAAAGCATTTTGTGTATACTAACACATTAAGTGTATGTCAGAAATTGATGTAAAAATATATATTTTAACACATTTTCTGAAATTAAACTGCAGTTTTGGTCAAATATTTGGCTCTATATGTGTTCAGAATTTGACTAGATTTGTATTTTCACAGTTTAAAATAATTCCTTAAATGAAAACCCATGATGTTATTAATGACAATGATAGTTCTTAAATTTTCAAAGTAAAATAATTTAAAGAACACAAGAATGGTGAGCAATATTTGTACTCAATATTCATATTATGTTAACAATATAAATAGGAAATCCTCGTCTACCAAAACTTTTACTTGAATTCAGAAAGGTGCCTGTAGAAATTAACATGTCCTATATGGGTGGCCCACTAATTCAGTCTTAATGAGAAACAGTAGTTAGGTCTCCATGTTAGAAGAGGTTAAATGTTCTTTATCTATTTGAGTCATTCTAGCCTCAAATGAAAGTCATAAAATCGAAACACATGAAATTACCAAATATTTTATATTCTAGTGCTATGGGAAATAATGCTCAGTAAGCAAATTTTTCATGTTAATTAGTAACATTAGAAATACTTGAGAGAAAGAACTAGATAAGTATGTAGACTTGAGTATGTACTAACTAAGGATGCAGAGTGAGATTCTAATCGAGCCACCATGGGCACGATAGGGTGTGAACCTGCTGTTGGAATGTGAGCCCTAAGATTACCTTGGTGCCCTTCCAGTGCTAACAGTGAGGTACCTCATACAAAGAAGAGCTAGAAAAGGTTGCAGGAAGAGGCAGATAAATGGCAGACTGCTGCCTAAGAATGCACAAGATCTCTGATGCCTAGCACAGAAAAAGGAAGAAATTTAGTGTGATTTTTGTGAAGCTAAGAAGTGAGTTTTTATTCTAGGGATAGAAAAGCATTTTATAAACAAAATGTAATAGTAGTCACCAAGGAAATGATTAATATTTTATGGTTTAAAATGGCAACAACAGTTGCCAGTACTCCTATTCTTTAAGGGGGGGGGGGTCTTAGAAAATAGTTAACAAAAAACAAAATTGGTTCCAAAAGGCTTAATCTCTAGTAAACTAAGAAATGTAATCAGTTGTGTCATCTTTTAAATAGCAGGAGTTAATGTAGTTTGTGAGGTGGGCTTTCCTGTGTCCTCCAGGATGAAATTTGGCAATGTCTTTTAAGAGCGTTAATATAATATGAATAAGCTAGCTCAGTGGCATGATGCTTAACTCAAGGTGCAGTGTCCAAAAAACGCAAGTGTGTGCCTGTCCTGTGTGTTCACTCCTTCCCTTAGAACTCAAAAGTTTTATTGATCACCTACTCTGCCCCCTACTTAAGATTATCAGTGAAGTTTACATCTAAATCTGTTCCCTTTTCCAGGAGGCACATTGAACTCCAGAGTCAGGAACAAAAGGTGGGCAGGGTATTGCACTTTTGTTAGGAAATAATTGAATTTGAATTTCTCCCTAATTGGTTTGTTTAGGATCTTCATTTAGAGCTCTGTTGGGGTTAGAGTCTCCAAATACATAGAATATCAGCTAGTTGAAATTCCAGTGTAGGGGCAAGTCTTAGAGGACTATCATCCACCTTTAGCTTTTCCAGTCTCAGCACACAGAACAGGTGCTGCTACAGAAACTGGATGTTGGCTTAGTTTTCTGATACGACGGTGCACACGTACAATTGGAACCTAACTTTGCACAAAGAAAATTATTTTTAAGTAGTTTTGATGTAATCTTAAAATGCATCCAACCAAACAAAAATGTGTGAAGAGTTGGAGAACTAAAGCACTCGGCTTTCTTAACTGTTAGATGAAGCTGTTTGGCCCTGGTGACAGGTCCTTTATGATAGATACGTTTAAATTCTCTTCAGAGATTTCTGTTAAAGGGAAAAACCCTGTCCTCAGAATTCACAACTGAGACTACACAAACCAACCAATACAATGATTCGAGAAATTGACAACAGTCAAGGATGGGTTGCTTTGCTCAGGGCTTTCCTGAAATGTGGCACCTGAGTCTTGAAGGTCCCAAGAGGAAGAGGGGCATTCCAAACCCAAGAAAAGCCTGCAGAAAGCTCCGAGAACATAAACAGGGCCCCTAAAAAGCACAGGATTTATGGGAGAGACAAACAATTGCCCCGTCGATGTTGGTAGTTTGAAACTATTGACAAGCACAACTGCTTGGATGGTGGCTAGTGGGGTGTGCTCAGTTCAGTCCAGTGGTAGAGTGGCTGGTGGGAACTAGGGACAGATAGTTGAGAAAAAATGACCCGGAAAATGAGAGCATTCTGTGGGCAAGTTATCCGACGTTTATTGAAGCTGAAAATTCCTCCACCCCTTTCCTATGAATATTCCACTCCCAGTATCGGCACTTAGTTCTCTTTTGTTTCTCTGAGGAAGCAACACCTCAGCCAATACTTGAAAGTTTGTCCGCCTTATGTCCAGGAGCCACGCATCTCTGCAAAACTAACAATGTCTTTGCTTCCCGTTGAAGGAATTGTGAGAATCTGACAGAAAAGTGAGGCAGACAGGAATTTGGTCACTCTGTGCCTCTGTAAATTCAGCCCAGTGGTAAACAAATACTCCGGTGAGTGGGATCACCATAGTTCTACTGCCTCTTGCTCCCTGAAGAGGTAGTATGAGTTCTGACTCTGGTGCAGGTACAGACACGCCAGGATAGGTTTTCCTTAGCTCTGCCTTTCATGTTCTACATAGGTCAGACCCACAGCCTTCTCCCCCACACCCGGTTTTCCCGCTCCCTGCTGTAAGCCCCCTAGTCATTCATGTTTCTGTTTTCTAATGCTAATCACTTCTGGTGTTTACTTGCACCAGTTGGCAAGCTGACATTCCAAGGTACATCTCTGTCTCGTATTCCCATACCAGGTTACAAATTTCTCCATCTAAATCTCTTCCAATGCACGTCTTCGCTGGTTAAGTGAAGGATGATACAAGTGTGCCCTTTGTGGGCTATCATTGGTCGGCCATGTTCAAATGTAGAAATTGCTTTTAAAAAGTACTATAGAAAGCAATGTAAAGTTCACAGACCTGTACTTTTTCTTTCCTCTATGTTTTATTGTCAAAAAAAAAAAAAAAGGCTGTCTTTTAGAATTGGTGATTGGTGATGGCAAGATAAGCTGTTATTTCTCATTGGCACAGTCCACTTGGACACTAAATCTGTTCAACATGATTGGATAGTGGGTGAACTTTAGTTTTCTTATCAGGGGAACTGATAAAGTAGGCAGTTTGCATGTTTTCTGACCACCTAGTGTCCTGGATCCAGAGTCCCTGTGTTTACTGACCAGGACCTGCCCACAGAAGCCATAATGTTCCTCTGAAAGAAGGAAGGAAAGGAGGTGTGCTAACTTTAGAAAAATGATTGACGTTTAAGACGAGCCAAATGACCCCCTTCAGCTTCTCTATAATGAAAGTTGAGGTCACTTGTAGTTCCGACTGTCCGCATGCTTTCATTATTCCCGTAAAACAATTGCAAAGTGCTCTTGCCCACCACAATCCCAAACCGTCTTCCAGATCAGTTTCTACTCTTGCTTCACTGGCAGTCCGTGCTTCTGTAGCTAGATAAACCTGAAGAAGACAGCAGACAAGGGAGCATCTCCCACACGCGGCGCATGTGATACTAGGCCGGCGTCTAGTTCTAGCTCACTGAGAAAGAAAATTTGCAAATCTCTTGATAAGATAAACATACATATCTTACATAAACAAATATGCATGCCGAAGTTTGGGGAAAATAATGTGGGCTTTATTTTTACTTTTATTTCATAGAAACGTTGGAAAGCAAATTGATTCTATCTCAACTTAGGTGCTTAACCCCATACTGAATGTTGGAAAACAGAAAGCTGTTTAGGGGATGATCTGGGCCCCCCAAGAACTCATCACCCAATGAGAAAGTAGAAGCTGAGGTACCATGTTGCTTTTCCAGAATAAATACAGTTTATAGACCTTGTGTCCTTTGTTAGCTGAAAGGCTCTGTAAATCAGTAATGTGCTGTGTCGTGTGAAACCCTTTGCCATTGCCAGGAGATCCTAAATCACCAAAAAGCTTTAGCAACAAATAATAATAATAATAATCCTGGAAGACGAGACCAGAAAAAGACTTTGCACACCTATACTGAGCCTGGGAGTCACCCCTAAAAAGGAACTCATCTGAGAGAGAAGTTTACATGTTTTCAGTGCTCTCAGTTTGCAGACGATGGGCCTAATTTAACCTAATGGCTGGAATTTACAAGTCATGAATTATATTGTCTCTTGTCTCATAAGTAACATGCATTTTTTTTTTTTTTTGGCTGTTTTAACCAGCTGTCATTCAGTGAGTGAAGTTAATAACTCAGGTACCCGATAGCAAAAATAAATCTCTAATAGAACAGAGAATTCAGAGATTAAATACAAGGCTGTCTGTTAGGTAAATGGTAAGCCTTACGTTTCAGATGGAGGGGGGCAAGGACGGCTCAGCGGACAGGCAGTACGGAGATTGTAACCTTTGAGAAAGAAGGCAAGCTCAGCTCTCTCACAGAAAGTAAAAACGCCAGCTACATTAGAAGTGAGTCTTCTGCTTTGTGAAACTCAGAGGCTTGCTAATGGCACGAAAGCAAATAGTTTTACAAGTCACGAAGAGCTGCTCAGTCTTGGCAAGGCAACGTGCACATGAAGCACACTATCTCAGATCCGTTTGGTGACCATTAGACAGTAAGGGTTGAGAGCTGGCGCATGAGGAAAAACGGGACTCTGGCATCATTTGAGTTTGCACAGCACTTTGAAAGGCAGGTGGGTAATTGAAGTTTTAAATGCCCTGTGACCCAATGGTTCCATTTTTTTTTTTTAATATCTGCCCTACAAAACACACCTGTGTTCACAAGGCAGCTTGTTAAAGAGTGTACGATTGGAAAAAAATCAAAATCCACCAACATAATGGAATATGCT